CGGTCCGGCATCAAGACGAGATCTGATTGGTCAACAATCTGGACCCAACAGCCAATCATGACCCAGTATTGGCCAAATGCCGATTGCCAATGTCCCATCCAGAACGCCTCAGAAATTCCAGAATGTTATAACCGCTTACGCTATATATAGGAAGCGCTGTACAACTGTTCTTGACTTCGTTTTGGGCGTTAATAGACCTTGTGCACCTTTGGTGGCTGTTTTGACGTGAACGCTAGCTTGGGAGGCCCAGACCGAGAACTAAGCTGAGGAAAATACCGTTACTACACTATCCAAGACCGCCTTCCATACGCTCGCCAGTTCCACACCCTCGATTCTGTTCACTCTGTGATGCTTATTAATTTCCACCGCCTCGGCTTTTAGCCGCTGTTGTGTGAATCGCAGTCACCGTCTTAAAACTTCCACATTCTCTAGATCTATTCTATGTCCCGTGTGCCGCCATTGCTGAATCTTTGACCAGCGTTTGGTATTCTACATTCCTTGGTGGTTTTTTATCTTTCTTTTATGCTCACCAATTCTGGTGTGCAATTCCCTGGCAGTTTGCCCTATGTAAACCTTAGCACAATCGTTGCAGTTAATTTTATACACCCAGTCCTCAGTCCTTTCAACCGGCAAGGGATCTTTCAATTGCATCAAAACTGAGCGTAGCGTTTTTCCCTTCTGAAAAGCCACTCGAATGTTGGCTAAGTTCAACAGTCTTCGAATAACCAATGATCCTGCTTTATATGGAATGACTGGTGTGCCAATCCGTTCCTTACTGGGTCTAGATACTGGACCCAGTATCTTTTTCAGTTGACACTTAATCAAGCTCACTGGGTATCCTATTTCTTGAAGTTTGTTGGCGATCTCGATTTGAGCTGCCGTTTGGTCGATCTCTTCTGTGCACAGCTCCCTGACTCCACGAAACATCGATGAGACAACATTGGCGTACACGGACTTTGGGTGTGCTTGTGAATAGCTTAAGATGGCTCCTGTGTCTGTTGGTTTCTGGTAGATAGTCGTTTTCACTTTCCCACCAACCTTATGTGTTATACAGTCCAGAAAGGGTAATGTGCCCGAGGTGGACTCTATTTCCATGCTAAACTTAATGTGTGGGTTTAAACTATTGAGATAGTCGTGGAAGCTGTTCACGTTATCTCGTTCGATTACAACAAAGGTGTCGTCAACGTAACGCCAAAAAACTTTGGGTGGACAATGATATCCGACCAAGGATATTTGGTCGAAGTCGTGCACAAACTTCTGATGAGTTTGTCTTAGGAAGTAGGTCTGCCCACACCGGCTTCACTCAGCCGAATTTCCGAAGGCTGAAACCCTATCGACATATGTGACTGAATAATTCGCTTCGGTATCTGGGCTGGAGTTATGTATCGGCTCACACTGTCGCTGGTGTACAAAGTATCCCAGTCCAACCTGTGGTGCCTTGTATAGTTTCCCTCAGTAAGCTTCTGCGCTAGATGGTCAATCTTTTATTAAGTCAGATGGGGAAATATGACAGTAAGTGGAGACCGGATCGAAGAATAAACTCGCCTTCGCCTGTAGGTTTCACCGGGGTCCTAGACATCAGGATCAGTCCCTTAACTTCGAGCACATGTGAAAACCAGGGAGCTCCCTCTTCCTCTCATCCGAAGAAAACTGTTCAGCCATAGCACCCTTTTGGTGCTTAGCTGCCATGCCAAAGGAAGAAGGTACGAGGGCTGGGGTACTTCCAGGTTACCCAGGCCTAGGCAGGTGCAGTCAAGATGCTGAAGTAGGCTTCGAACCGCGGACTTTTCAGTCTGTAAGCCGGGGCTCTAACCAGTGAGCTATATCGACCCTTTAGCTTTTTACTGGTCAAACTGAACTGTATTTTATTGTGCATACAAAGCAGACTGAATTGATGGCGAAATTAAAACGGAGCTCGTTCGAGCATGGTTGGGTTCGGTAGCACATCTCCTATTTGTCCCTCTGCAGGTGGGACGCGATTTGCCATTTGACAAATCACGGTTAATGTTCGTAACAGTCCAGGAGATTTTCAATTAATCAATTATATTGTCGTATGACCCTTAAAGTTCGGTAAAGCCCACTCTGAAAGACCATCTCTTGTGTATCTACACCTCATACCTGTTGGATAGGACGGAGACAATTTGTCACTGTCCTACTATACGGTTTGAGTGACACCTTCTCTCGGTCGCACCACCCTGCGTGACCTTGCCCCTCTGCTAAAGCTGAGTTTTCATAGCTCACACCGATTTTAATCACCTAAGGGTACTAACCAGTTGTTTATTTTACTTTATGTTCAGTTTCACATCACTCGTTTTTTGAACAGTCGTCCTCCTGTTCTGGCGCAATTATTCATGTGAATCCACACCAAAGGGGAAGGAAGCACTGGATTCGAGTTTCGCTTTTGTTAGAGCTCATCAGCAGTTCATATCCGATGGCCGTACCGGGGCTTGAACTCCGGACACCTGACATGCGAGGCGAACGTGTTCTCACTTGAGCGATGTGATTAGTATGCCCGACACATCATCGATACGACGACCTAGTAACTGTCCTGGTTGTGACGATCGATTGGCCCGCTTGTCAGGACCTCCCAGTCAGGTAGCGCCACAGACGTTTGGAACCGGCTGGACAACTTTTGTTGATGCATGTGGGGGTTTGCGGAAGGTGTATTGTTCAGTTTCTTTACTTTGTGTATGAGGCAAAGCAGGTTCCTGGTTTTGAAAGGCTGTTCCTAGTGAGAGTTTCCATGTATAGTTGGCAATTTCCTGAGACCTCAATTAAACTAACTCCAACTCTTTTCCGTTCTTTCAGAAGGAAAATCTCCAATAAGCTTGACTTGTAAACAATGCCCTCTCCACATCAGTCCACCTCACTCGATGAGGTTCGTGATGTGAGTAAAAACAGAAAACGCAAACGCTCTCCAACTCCATCCGAACTGGAAACGAAAAGTTCTGGTGCTCAAAAAGAACCGCCTCGTAATGAACCCAATAAAACAACTGGTAAGCAAGTGATTACAAACAATCTGATTTTTATTCCTTAGCTGCAGAAGTTCTTAATATTTATGGCAAAACTGGTGGAGCTTACATTCCTCCGGCTCGCTTACGACAGATGCAAGCGCAAATTACTGACAAGTCCTCCGAAGCTTATCAACGCATCGCATGGGAAGCACTCAAAAAGTCGATTCATGGCTTCATCAACAAGGTCAATGTTTCTAACATATCAGACGTTGTTCGCCAACTGCTGTCGGAAAATGTAGTTCGTGGCAGGGGACTCCTCGTACGCTCGTTGCTCACAGCCCAGTCGGCCTCACCCACTTTTACCCACGTGTTTGCTGCACTTGTTGCTGTAGTGAATTCCAAGTTTCCTCAGGTGAGTTCTGCCTTTATTTTTTGGTTCTGATCTAATTGATTATCGTTTCATCTTCATGTGCATGCTCCGATCATATCTCCATCCGTTTCGCCCACACCTTTCACGTGAAATTCCGAGGCATTATAGAGACACGATCAACGGTTACGTAATCCTAAGATTAACTATCCGTACTTGCTAACCAAATAACCACGTGGCCGATCTTCTTGGTGTGTTAAAAAGCTTCGTGTGACTGAGCTTTTCGGAAATCCGCTACAATGATCCCTTTTCCTTATCTCAGTGCCACACGTACACCTAGAGACAACCAATCGTCCTTTTGTTCATCCTTATAGATTGGACTAACTCTTATTGGACGGAAATAAGCGGGTTCTAAATCCAGATAATTAGTGGCCTTACAAGATATATACGTTCTTTATCGCCGAGTCCCTATGGTAGTGAATTATAGTGGCAGCGCAACTTCTGTCTGGGCGAGAGGTGAGCCATCTATGCAGCAAGATGCAGCTACCTTTGTAAAAGCCGAAATAAACCGTGCACGTTACAGAGCTGAGTTATCTGGTCACCGTTCACGCCCACCAGTAAGTGGACAAACAATAATACACTCAATCCCAGCCATTCAGCACGCCGCCGAATTTATAATTGCAAACGGGGGGCTGATATATATTTTCTTAGATTCATCCGTTCTTTAGGCCACCATGCAAGGATCCATCAACTATTTCCCACTATTATCACGTTTTCACTTTTCTCTTCTGATTCCTTGCGGTTTTGTTTGGATAGATGTAGACCGAAAGCCGCTTCACATCTGGGTGTTACTCTACCTAAGGCGTTTATCGCAGTGTTCTGGAAGGTTCCTTCCCTACTTGAGGTTCTATAGTAGAAGTTTTCTGTTCGCTAAAATCGTTTCCTCGAAGAAGCTTTTGTACCTTTGTGGCTGTCTTGGGGGACTACTTTACAGGGCTCTACTGAAGGACTGTTATACAACAGGTCCAGGCTTATTCAATTTGGCTATTGTTTACAATGAGGCGAATTGGAAGCTCAGTATTGCTCCACGGAGTGAAGCGAACACGGAACATACGCATTATCTTTTTCGGACAACTCTCCAGATTCCTCCGTTTTCCTCTCTGCCGTCGCTTACGGTTGTTTTTCCTCGTCTTTTTATCCCTTACCTCATGGTCAGGTTGGCGAGCTCGTGCTAAAAAGGCTTATCAACGAATTCCGCAAAGCATTTCGGCGAAATCAAAAGGACCGGTGTCTGTCCACGGCTCGGTTTCTTGCGCATCTGGTCAATCAGAAAGTTGTACATGAACTGATTGTTTTGGAACTACTCACCCTGTTACTCGAACAAACGACCGATGATAGTGTTGAAGTTGCTGTCGCGGTACTGAAAGAATGCGGCGCCATGCTCACGCGTCTCGTTCCGAAGGGAGTTCATGGTGTGTTTGAACATTTACGTCGTATCTTGAACGAAGGCAACTGCGACAAACGCATTTCTTACATGCTGGAAGTCATGTTCCAGGTAGGTGTATTCCCCTTCTCCATTGTACAGCTTGATTCATGATTAGCCTTCCAGCAGCTTCTCATAAACACTGTCCCCTCTCCCATAAACCCGTTCGTTTTGAATGCAGTTCAATCGGTTTGGTATGAGACTACCGGAGAGTAGTGCACCGGATCTCATGCCTTGATTTGATTGGCAAAACGCTCAGTGGAAGCAACTTCATAATTCAACTGAGGGGCCAGATGGCTCATTGGTTAGATAGCGAATTTACTGAACGGAATATCCTTGGCTCGACGGATCCTGTCTAGGCTTGGGCAATCTGATAGTATATCGGCCCTCGTGTTTACTATGAGTGACATGGCAGCTAGGCACCAAATGGATGCTACAGCGGAACAATTATTATATCAATTTGGTTTTCACGGGTGATTCAACTGAGTATTTGTCGAAACTTGATACTTCAAAGACTATACAGTGTTCAAATGGCTCTTTATGTGTGGTTTTATTCCACAATCCCCTATTGGCATATACTGGACACAACCATTAGTATTCAGTTCCGACCAGGTGTAAGTCTTCAACTTGGTTAGAAAACTACTGTTTTATACAAGTTCCTGGTAGTCTAGACATGCAAATCCAATGAGTTTTGGATAATATTGGTCATTAAGCTCGAGTATTCTCAACCTCCATGTCATTTCACTCTGTATCTAAGACCTTCGGAAAAACTGCTTGAGTACTTCACCTAAGTAGATATTTGATCGCTTTCCAAGGGTATTTCTAGCGTAAACGGTTGCAGATACACCCAAGATCTTTCAGGTATTTGGAAAAAGTTCGCCAACCAGTAAACACTTTAATCTTATCTAAGCCCCAGGAGACAGAAAGGGAATAACCCGACAAGTCCAGTTGAATGCACCTCTTCCTCATGTCCTATCAGCTGCCTACATACATTCCGTATCATAGTTTGGGTAAGGTAGCCACACGTTTCTACGTGGACCAACACACACACAGGTCAGTGAAATCATTGGAGGGAGTAATGCTCATCAAATGACCAATCGGGTTGAGTAAAAGGAGTGGAGTTGCGAATACGATTTACTCTCGATCTTACCAATGCACGGCGAGAGTGCCACAAGTTCCACGTCTTGTCGAAATAAGGTTGAACTCGTACCATGAAAACGCGTCACGATATTAGCGAAATACACTCATTTGCATACCAATTTAGTTTTCACGGGAGACCCACCCGGAACCCAGCTGAATCCCTCATTTATGATGTTGTTAGGCAACTGAATATGCTTCACCAGGCTACCTCATGTTTCAATGGGCACGATATTTGAGATATCGCAATGCAACGTATAGACGTGATGAAAACTCTTCGACAGCCCACGACCGGTTTCGCCCTTCATGGGGCTCATAAGGTTGGTCGAGCCATATCCAATTCGGGTTCAAATAGAACATAAGGTTGATGGGAACTCAGGGACTGCGCCTACCTGATGAAGCCCAAGATGGAAGAAACTGTTTGTGGCTTGCCGAAGAGTTTTCAGCAACCTTATGAGGAGTAGCGCATTACGTCTCTGTATTATTTACCAGTCGGAGCTAAATAGTATAAGGTTCAACTACCAACTGGAAATCCGACGGTTTGAATATCTCCGGAGATTCGTGAGATCATAATTCCCAACTAGGATTGAACAACTCTACCGAACTTGGCCTTCAACAGCGTGGGTTGTAGGATAAGACCTCCATTACACTTTCCGAATGTTCTCATGCTCTCAGTGACTTGTATCTGGTTTCAGTGATGTTGCTCTTTGGATCGTCTCCAATACTTTTGTGAATCAGCCCCGTTTCTGCCGGAGGCACACACAAAATTGGTGGAAACTTATCTCATTCGCCTTACCATGCTTGAATCTGTGATACTTCAAAACACCCAGTCCTCTGTTTCCTGCAGTGGCTGTATTCACATTGCTTTCAATAGGACGCTTATTTGATGGTGAGCAGTTACAGGATTTGTAGAATTCTTGCTCATTTTTATAGACGTTTTCTACTTGCCGCACCTGAGCGAAACTTATGTATTCTAGCGTAGGGAATCACAGCTCACTTGATGCCGCAACTAATTCCAATAGATTTTCTACACAGTGTTTTGCGACACAACCTAAATCAGAAACGGTTATACCATGTTCATGATCTGGTGGGACAGTCTCACTAAACAAACGAATTCCCATCAAACGAAGACAGTTTGGTTGTTGGCTTGCCTTTATATTGCTGAGTTAGTCACAATCATCGCAACAATCTTGCGTCTACGTAGATCACCTGTTGTCAAACGCCAAACGCATGACCAGCACCGCTTCCTCATTCTGTCCTATTCCCTGATTCTATTCATTTTGTTGTCATCCGAAGTTGAACTTCAAAGTGAAGAATGCTCTCGACTGTCTTTCACTGAGCTCGAGACAGCTCAATGATTAAGGTTCGACTGGAAGGTCCGTGGTTCGAACCCCCCAACCTCAGCATCTCGGTTGTTTTTGTCTAGGCTTATGCAACCTGGTAGTATCTCATCCCTCGAATCTCCTTCATGTGGCATGGCAGCTAGTCATCGAAAGCGCATTGCAGCTGGACGATTGTTGTCGTTTTTTTCGTCTACAAAATGGGCAGTGAAATGCGATTTCTGACTGTGAACTTACAAAACCACGTTGGATGGTTCCCCACGGAGGCTTGTGTATTCGTGCCTCAAAATTTGCGCTCATGCATGTTGTCCATTGGATGTGCAGTCAATAATCGTGCCGACAGTTTGAGACCCAGAACTTATTCAAAGGGAACCGTGTGATGCTGCGTTAATTACGGTTGTAACTCCCCTAGGCCATCTTAATTTGACATGAAGTCATCTTTAGATTTATTCCGAAGTTTATCGCATCGGGACATCTCATAGATATTGCCGGTGTATATTTTGTGGTCTGTAGTCATATTGATTTGAAGCTGTCATTGTTTTGTAGTACCAAATCCCTTCTACATCTGCGAAGCGAAATAGATAGCTGTTGACTCGACAGTTTACTACTCCTCATGTCTTTTTGGGCTTTTTTTGCGTTGAGTGGTGAAGCATCGGTGTTGAACACTGATGTCATGCTGTCGATGATGATGATTTGCATTAAGCGGTATCCAGCACGTGAACAGATTTTTTTAACCAGTGAGAGCATTCGATTCTCTGAGATGCGACCGGAAGTTCACGCAAGATTGCAGTCAATGTAAAGCACCCAGAGTTATACTTTGTCGCACTTTGCTGAAATAGCAACCATTCCGCGCTACATACCCTATTTGCTTGACAAATCAAGGATTCGTGGACGGCCTCACCCCGTCTTGGTGGGGCATCAGGTCTACAGTCCCGATCCTTTCACCTAAACTTACCTGCGATTTGGATTTTTGTCCGTTGTAATGACGTTATTGGCCACCATGTGTTCACCTACCCTGAAAACTCGTCCGTTGTCTTGCCTTTGTCTTGAATTCTATCTACCCAGTTGTAATGAATGTCATACAACGCAAGAACCAGTCGACAATGCATTCATCTACACTCGACCAACCGTTTCCAAATAAACTAGTGTATAACTTGACAGAACGCACTACTCACAAGGTTGCTGGGACTTTTTATAGATGGGAGATTCACTTGAGACCATCATTAGCAGCAGAGTAATCTACGGTTGAGCGAATTTCATGAATATACCACTGTTCCGATCACCTTTGGTTATCTCGCGTGATTAGGCCGCTCGCAGTCTCAGCATTCTTCATCAACATCCCTTCGGGCGAGGTAGCACTGTATACGTATCACGCCTTAGTTTTCAAATTTCAGGATAAAAGTCGGATACCAGCTTGAAGGGTGCCCGTGAGCGACCGAACTAAATCATTCTATTGCAAATCCAGCAGTTTGCCAACTGGATTACCCTAGTTCGTGAACTGATAAAGTAGCGTCTACATCACAGTGCAAACTTTACCAAAAAACAAAGCCGTTTGGATCTGCTTCCCTTATTTCCTCCCTTTTTTGTCAAAGCATTCAGTTCTCCTAGGTTTGACCATTTCTCTCCACATGAAGCATCGCTGGGAGTGATTCTTGGCGGGACTGGGATTTCCAGTGTAAACTGGACCCTTTCCAACTTGAAAGTTATCCAGCATACTTGTTTCGTTCTGGACAAATAGGCCTGATAGATTGCGAGGTAACTCTAATGTGAGCGGTAACAATATGACGTTCTTGTTCCAAAGCTACATATGCTGGATGCTGTTGAGTACTGATTCCGCTATTGTCTCTTCGCAGGAGAAATTTGCGCATGTTCTCCTTTGTACTTACCCTACATCTCTTCATGAGTAATATGTCTGTACTGAGTTCACCCGTATACCCTCATTGATTGTTCGTAAAGCAAAACAATTTCATGGAGGATTAATCAAATTCAACCTTGGAGGGGTGCACTCAAGACTGGGGACTTCGCCCTTGACCTGATTCCTTGGTTGCCTTCATCCAAATACATCACTGGACCCGACATATCAGTGCTGCTTTGACACGACCCCTTGCATGCGAACACATATGCTTTGCAAACAACGGATGGGGAACGATGACATGGTCTCACTACATCATACCCTTTGCAAAGAATGACATTGAAGGATTAGATTCGATCATCGAGTTTGAATGTCTCGCAATGCTCCGGGGGTAATTCAATCAAGATTTGCTTAGACTGTTGAGGGTATGTGCATCTCCGTGTATCACTGATTACCCTCAATCTCAGCGGCAGGTTTCCCCGTGAAATTCGATCAAAATGACCTTTTTCTATTGGCTGCCTTGCACTCAAACTAGTTGAGTTTCACAGGTTGCTAGTCGTGTTATTTTAATACACCTCTCTTCATTCATTTTTCTCTATGTTTTGTCTCCCATCAGATTCGTCGTGATGGCTGGAAAGACCACCCAATTGTCCTACCCGACTTGGAACTTATCGAAGAGGATGACCAGATAACACACACCACCTCGTTGTTGGATCAAGTCGATCCGGAGGATAGCCTGAATGTATTCCGCTTCGATCCGAACTATGTTGAAAATGAGGAAAAATATGCAAAGATCAAAGCTTCATTCTTCGAATCGGATGCCGAGTCAGAAGCCGGTTCGGGCGATGAGGAGGCAGATGATTCGGAGTCTTCGGGTGATGAGGATGCAGAAGCTGATGAGCGTGGTGCTCAAGGGGCTACTGCCGCTACCGGTGAAGGTCAGCAGACAATCATTGATCAGACCGAAACAAACCTGGTTCATCTACGTCGAACTATCTATCTGATGCTCCAGAGCAGTCTGAGTGCAGATGAAGCTGGGCATCGGCTGCTTCAGCTAAAAATCAAACCGGGAGAGGAGTACGAGGTCGCTTCCATGGTTCTTGACTGTTGCGCTCAGACCCGAAGCTATGAGAGTCGTTATGGTCGTCTTGCCCAACGCCTTTGTCGAGTTATGCTCACTTTCGGCAACCCGCCACCCACGTCTGGTGGTGGTCCGAAACCCATCCCGGAAGAAGTGGGACCAGGTAGTCGCTACAAGTCCTCGTCGAACACTCGAGCAACTACTAAGTCTGCGGAAACCACAGAAACCACTCCAGCCGTCGAGGATACAGGCCCCCCTAGAAGTTACGTAGCTGAGTTCGAACGTATATTCGCTGAACAGTATGCTATTATTCACCGATTGGAAACAGCTAAGTTGCGCAACGTCGCCCTATTTTTTGCACATCTACTTCACACGGACTCTATATCTTGGGGTGTTCTGGAATGCGTGCGCCTAAATGAGCGCGATACGACATCATCTGGCCGCATCTTTCTCAAACATCTGTTCCTTGAACTGTGCTCATTTATGGGTTTAGCTAAGCTTCAAAACCGACTGCGAGACGAAACTTTGCAACCGTTTTTTGCTGGGCTTCTTCCTCGTGACAACCCGAAGGATACTCGATTTGCTATCAATTTTCTCACTACAATCGGTTTGGGTGGTTTGACACTGGATCTTCGCGAACATTTACAAGCTTCACGTGAAGCAGCTTTGGCCAAACGCGAAGCTCAAGCGGCCAACTCCGATGTGGAGTCACTATCGGAAGAGGTTGAAGATCAAGACGAATCCTCCAGCTCGTCTTCAAGTGA